CGCCAGCCCGCCGCACCGGCTCCGCTCAGGGCGCCCCCTGGTGGCCACACTGGGAGAGCGAGGGGCAACTTGGCCACCGCGGGGACCCAGGGCCAGCGCCTGAGCTCAGGGAATCCAGCGCATCACGGTGAGGGTCAACCTACATACTTACGGAAGTCAGTCTGATCTCGCAGTCGGGTCCCCCACCGGGCGCAACCACGGTTTATAGAGTTTTTTTTTTTTTCACTTTTCTTTTTTGGTACAGGGAATCAAACCCAGGGACCCCCACTTGCCGTGCATGCGCTGCACCGCTGAGCTACATCCCCCGCCCAGGGGTTTTGTTCTTGAAACACAGACTCCCTGGTTTGACCTGTCTGGGTTTGGGGTCTGGGCCCCTGCTGTGCTGCCCAGGCTGCTCCCACATTCCAGGATCCAGGCGACCTCATGTGTCCCCCTGCCTGGCAGCTGGGACCACGGGCACACACGGCCCTGCCCGGCTTGACTTTTCACAGAAGCACAGCTTGCAGAAGGCATGAGTCAGTCACCCTCCTCACCGTGGCAAACTGACAAAAGGCAGATGAACAGAAGAGGTGCGTGTGTGTGTGTGTGTGTTTGGGTTTTTTGAGAGAGGGTCTCACTGTGTAGCCCCAGCTGACTTTCAACTCACCATCTTGCTTCAGTTTCCCAAGTGCTGGATGATGACAGGCACCAGCTGCCACACAGGGCTGTTTTCTCTCTCTCTCTTTTTCTCTTTGCAGCACTAGAGGTTGACCCTGTGGCCTTCACACTGAGCTACATCCGCAAGTCCTTTTTTATTTTGAGACAGGGTCTTACTAATGTAGGGCTCGAACTTGCAGTCCCTGCCTCAGCCTCAGGAGTGCGGGGACTGCAGCAGACACATCACAGGCTCACCGGGTCAACTGTTGAGCCTGATCGTCATCTTCCTCAGTTTTTTCTTATATTTTGAAAAACAAATGCTTGGGCCAAGGATTTGGCTCAGTGGTCCCACTGCCTTGCAAGCACAAGGGCCAGAGTTCAATCCCCGGAACCAAAACCAAAACCAAACAAAAACAAATGCTTAATATTTTATAGCATAGATAAATCAATTTATTCAACCAGCTCGCTGCTGATCTGAGTTAATTCTAGAGTCAGCCTGGGGGAAGGTGCCTGGGGACTTCACCTGTCGAGCTCCTGCTCCACACTTGGGCTACAACTGTCACCAACGCCCATAGTGTCCCCAGTGTGCTGTCCCTGCCAGCCTCCCCCTAACACCTGGCTGAATCCAATCCAGACCCCAAGAGGCAGAGCCTTGTCCCCCCACCTGTGTGTTCCCTAAGACCCAGTGCTAGAGACACAGACGGGGCCGGCAGGAGGTGTGTCAGGCTCTGTCCTGTATCAGTAGCTCAGAGGAGCGCAGATGGTGTTGTCCCTCTCCCAGCCAGGCCCAGAGCTCCCACTGCAGAAGACAGAAACTTCCCACTGCTGAGCAGAAGCCACAGTGCCGTGTGGGGTGGTGGCGGCGGAGGAGGTGGCACCGTGGTGGCTCCTGGGTCCTCAGGACTCGATGGCCCCCTATCCAGCCCCTTCCCAGTCCCCAGGCTCCTCCCTCCCGCAGGCCTGGCCATCAGGGACTCAGCCCCCTTTCCCCAGCTGTGGCTCCAGCCCCCTCCCTGCCCGATGCCAGCCCAGACCGTCTTGGAAGCAGTTCCTTTGGGTGTTGGGTG